TCTCATTTCTCCTCACCGTTGACCTCCTCAGTCCTTCTCTCCTCTAAAGGACAGGGGGAGAAAATGAGGACAAAGCGAAAAAGAAATAAGAGACATCTGGAAAAGAAAGAGCAGGACAGAAGACAGTCTCTCGTCTTTACTCAGTGTGTAACAGTGATCATCTTCTCCTCTTTCCTTCTGCTCTCATTGAGGAATAATGTCTGGAACAACCTTCATCACTGCACTCCAGACTCAAGGGAGAAGCCCCCCCACCACCACCACCACCACCTCCACCTCCTTCTCCACCACCCACACCTCCACCTCTTTCTCCACCACCAATCACCTCCATCTCATCCCCTTGTTCACATGTGAAGTCGTTCTGTGGATTATGGCTCCTCTCATTTCTTGGCACTGAGATGTATTATCATATTAGTGGAGGATGACGTAATGCGTCTCAGGACATTTGTCCTTCACACACACTCTGTCCCTCCGCAGATGACGTCACTGGCTTTGTGTCCTAAAGGTTTTTTTTCACGTTTGATAACGTCGCCATCTGGTGGCGGTAGAGCGGTATTGATGAATTAACGGGAAGAAAAGGAGTAAATAGGGTGGAGCGATGATTCCTGATGGAGTCCTGATGGATGTCCTTGGCTGTAGCTGTAGTCACGTGGTCTGTGGGGTCAGAGACGCAACGATGGAGCCTCACAGTTCAGGTACGACTCGATTACTAATCAGGGGCCCACCGAGATGTTTGGGAGCTCGTTGCCAATGACGCGATTGTTGGAGGAAAGTCATCCATTGTTTTAGATCAATAATGTAAAACTTTTAACTATATTAATAATTATATTAATAATAATATAATAATATAATTTATAATGTAACCTTGATCCTACATGGGTTCAGCCGCATGTCCGGTTTCCTCAAATTAAAATATAATCACAAAACTAAAAAGTTGAATATTTGAAGAAATTAAGATCAATCCCTTCGACCCGACAACAGAACAAAGGACAAAAATATGTTTTATGACTTACTATAGTATGACTTTTATATTTTTTCATGCTATACTATGGAATTTTTCAATATTCATGTCAAAATATGCATCTGGGGGTTAATTGTATGTGTGACTGTGAGAGTGAATGTTTGTGTCTGTGTGTCAGAGACTCTTCCTCCTCATACGTCCTCCTTAACGTCTCTGAACAGACTGCAACAAACATCAAGTTTGGCAACCAGCTTTTTATTTATTTAGCTCTTTTAAATGTTGCTTCTAGCTGCAGTTTATTGCACATATTAAGACTAACCTTGAGGTAGTTGGTCCTCTCGTGCAGAACTGTGGACCGAACACCATTTACAAAAAAAAGGACAGACAAGAGAGAAAGAAAAAGTCACGCCTGAACAGTGTGACCACTTTTGTTTTGTATGTGATGCAAAAAGTTGTGTGTCGTGTGTTGTAATGTTTCCAGTGTGAAGTGTTAGTTTGTGACCTGATGAATCTTTTGTGAAGAACTGGCTTAAGAAGCATTTACAGAGAAATAAATCTACCGTGCGTGTGTTCACTGTGGTGTGTTTCAGGTCCGGTGCTTCCCTCCGTGTTCCTGGTGAAGATGGTGGTGTTCTCTGTGGGTCTGATCATCATGGTGTCTGCCGTCATCACTGTTCACCTCGTGGACTTCAAGAAGCACCAACAAAGAAATGGATGTCAAACACGTCACGCTGCCCGGGAGGAAAGCTCCCACTTAAAGGTCACCTTCTAAACCCGTGATGATGTTCCACTGACTCACAGCTGGTGGCAGCAACACACCAGGAGAAGAAAAGAGGAAGACGAGCGCAGAGCAGCAAACATGGACGCAAACTATTTAGGATTTAAAGGATTTATAAATTCAGCTTTGCACATATTTCCTGGTGAAAGAAAGACATTAAAAACGTGGACTCAAAGATGCATTTTGGCAAGAAAAAACTTCATGGTAACATTTTTACAAGAAAGCAATAATCCATTGATTACACACAATATATCACACACACAAGACCATGTCAATGTGTTTTTGGTGAATGTCATCTTGAATGTTTAATCAAGACCAACTATATGTAAGCGAATAACCTTAAATATACCGTATAATACTGCATACGGTTCAATTTACAATGATAAAATACACATTGCCTATTTATCTGCATGTACGGTATTTATTGAACATAATTCTGTTCCGCAGGTTTAATTTTGTTTTTACCAAATTATCAATATGTGATGATATTAAAATAAAGACACTTGATACACTGATGAAAAAAATCGTTTCACATATTTGTCACAGTTGAAAAGATGAGTCCTTTTTTTGTCTGAAAAATAAAATAAAATATAACAGAAGCCCCCTGCATCACGCAGCTTAAATCTCACCAATCAGGTGAAGCCTTAAAAGTCTAAATGTAATAATGTAGGAAATGATCAGATTAAAAGTGACATGAAGAATCAAACCAGGAACCAAAGCTGAAGCTTCCTGCAGGACAACAACATATTTATTACTTTTTCTAAGTTGACCTTCAATATAAAAGATGTAATTAAAATATCTCCAACTGTGATGCTAAAAAAAGCTGCTTGTGTGTGATGCTTAGTAACATTTAATCATTGATTTTTAATCTCCCCAATGACACGTTTGTGTGGAAGAGAATCTTTCAGCATTAAAGCAGATCACATGAAATAAAACATAGAAAGCTTCAATAACGCTGCAAACCACCAGCAGAATTTGGGGATTTGGGAAAACCTTCCTCTTTAATTGTCAATCTTCTCCACCAATTCGTAGCCGGTCTACGGATCAGTCGGTTCAGCGTCAGACGGCACGGAGCTGTAGGAGGTGACCTGAAGCGTCTGCTGGGCTCCTGTTCTTCTTCTTTCTTTCTTCTTTTTTCTTTCTTCTTTCTGCTTTCAGATCTTCACAGTCTTTCCGATATTTTTCTAAGTCCTGCAGGATAAATCACATACGTAAGAAAAGGTTACTTGCTGCTTCTTTGTAAAGGAGCTATTTTCCACGTGGGGAATCATCTCCTGATGATTAACAGTCACTGATTTAATTACTTCTGTCTCTTTGTGTTAAAAATGAGTCGGTTTTTTCTAAAATGCATTAAACTGCTACAAAACACATATACGGTCTCTTTTCACAAAGAGTTCAGATGAATCTCTCGGGGTAGAAAGCACATCACACTGCAGCATGAGCCATAAATAAAGCAGCTAGAACTTTAACACCATGTAGAGTTGGTTCCTCTTTCACACTGTAAATGATACTTGTTCTGTGTCTCTGGACTTGTTCTCTGTGTAAAAGGAGCTTTTTAAAACAAGTAAGAAGCAGAAAACCATCGGCTCAGGAGGAAAGTGGCTAACTGGTGTGAGCCAACACGTGGAAGCAAAGGAGGGTCACGTGACCACGTAGTGGACGTCATGTGACTACCAACATGTGGCCTCATTTAAATCACATTGTTTCAGTATTTCAGACACCAGCGTGGGATTTGATCTCCACACAACGAGTTTTTAAGGTTTTGACATGTTGCTGTTGGGCGAAGTGGGAAAATGTGGATGACGGACTGAGACACAAACAAACAACACGTGCACAGCAGGAAGAAACACGGCTGAAGAGGACTAATGGCCACAAGAGACCCGGTTTGGATCCACGGATCATCAGGTTCCTCCCAGCGGATCTGAGCACAAGCAGCAGGTGTGTGCACGTAGCAGGTGTGTGCACGTAGCAGGTGTGTGCACGCAGCAGGTGTGTGCACGTAGCAGCACGAAGCCACCTGGAAAACACCTTTGATTCTAAAAACATTTCTTAAATTTGTTTAAAAGAAAATACAACGCTTACCTGAACAACTCGTGCCAGAGTATCTACCTCTTGCCGTCTTGAAGCTGCAGGTCAGTGGTAGAAGAAGAAGAAAAAAACCTTTAAAGATCTGAACTGTTGTACATTTACTTTACTTGAGCTGCAGATAAAGTGACTCCATCTTTTGGGTGGTGTCTAATTTACTCCATCCTCAAACAGAAGCACATGTTGACATGTTGGATTTGATGTGTTGGGATGTTTGTATCAAAACAGCAAATCATGACAATCCCAGTGAGATAAAAAGCATCTTTTGGTAAAATATCACATGTATATTTTAACAGACGTGTTTCCTGATCTGATGCAGTAAAAGACGTCCTGTGTTGTACAGATTGTTCAGCGCTCGGAGGCAAACTGTGATTTGTGATATTGGGCTATTTAACCAAACAGGTGGGTACATAGTTATGGAGGACTTGGAGACATTGAGTTTCTATGTAGAGGAAACAAAGAGGATTTTACAGATGTTGAGATTATTTGTTGGAACGTTTACTTGGACTTACGGATTCTTCTCCTTCGATCAATACAAAGCCAGACGGATAGAACCACAATTATGAGAATGAAAATGACAGTGAGAATGCAACTAGCCATCCCCCAGCCAGGGTGAGAGAGAGGATCTGTAAAACAAAACAAGAACCAGATCAGAAGAGTCTTCCTGGTTTAAATGACGCAGCACAGCTGAGAATGTGTCACATGTTCACAGCCTGATGTGCTTCTGACGGACTGAAGTTTGGATTGTGAAAACATCTTTGTAACGTGATCTATAGTAAGAAATCATTTAATTTATTCAATTAAAAATGGAAATTAGTTTTACCAACTTAGTCATTAAATGTTGCCACTATAAGGTGTTTTTTGGTAGAGGGTTCATTATTATCAGTGAGTCGTCTCCTCTTTCAGTCTTACCAGCATATTGAGGGCAAAGTTGTTCAGCATGAATCAAGTCTTGGGTCCAGTGAACCTGGTTGTTATGGTTACAGATGATCACACTGTTCAACAGGTAGATCTGGAGAGAAGCCCCAGAGGTCGTGACCTCTGGTCGCTCTCCTCCCTCCTGACTGCAGACCCGGTCGACACATCTGAAAGTGCTGCTGATGTGAGAGTTGTGAGTGCTGCAGGTCACATGGAGGTCACATGACCCTGAGCTGCTGGAGTCCACTCGGTCCACGATCAGTTCAACTGGAGACACTGGTCCTGAGGGGGGGGGAGGTTTCTGTGAAGAGTTTATGAAACATGGCGGCAGAAACTATCAGTGAAATGTTTACAGACTCACCTTGAACTGTGACCTTGTATTCAGTCAGTAGTTTGACTTCTTGAAGTATTCGTGCTTCAGCAGAATAAAGTCCACTGTCGACCTCTTGTACATTCTTCAACATCACAGAGAATTTATTCTCACCAAACTGAACCCTTCCAGTGAAATGTGGATCGACATGTGATTCTCCACTAGGTTCAAATCTTACTAAATTGACTGTTTCATTGATTTTCCAGTCAACAAATGAAACCCTCTCAGGAGGATCAGCATGAAGCTTGAGGAGCAGATCACGTCCCTTCAGCACAAACACAGGAGTCACAATGGTTCCTGTAAAAACAGTAGACACATGATACAATAAACATCACACACAATATGTGATGAATCATCCACTGCTGAATGTTCCTCCATCACTACACTTTATTTATTACACATTGAACCAGCGGTTCACCTTCAGCTCATCACTGCTTAACATGAAGTGACAGAAGTCTCTTCAAATGTCTCACGTCGTCTCTTCCTGAGGACACAGAGAAGCTTAACAGCAGAAACTAAACCCACTGAGAGCAAGTTGCTGCTCAAAGTTCTTCTTCTTGACGTGACAAAGTATTTCCATTCTGTCTCTTTGTCCTCTTTCCCTCCGTCTCACCACACTAATGTCCCCCAGCATCAGCTACACTGAACATGGACGACTTTAGAAAATAAGACGTCCACAGACTGAACGCTGAAGGAGTTAAACTCTGAGAGGAGTAAAGGTCAACATCTGTCTTGGAGGGAAAGAAGCGTTCAGCCCGTTTCAACAAGTGGTGAGAAAGTGTCTAAAAGCACCTGAATGTTTCCTCTGAATCACACACGTCTTCTGTTGGAACACTCAGAATATTCACTGAAATAAGACGTGGACATTAAGGAATGAAAGAGAACTTAAGGAAGTATTTCCCTCTGAAGCTGAGTGTGTACGTAAATTATGAGAAAATATGAAATTATCTTGTTAACTGGCTGAGAGCAATGATATTTCTCTACTAACATTTGCAAAGTTCATTGTTTTTCAAACCTCTGATTCTTTATACTGAGACAACTTCCTGCCTCTGAGCTCAGAACAAGAAGAACAACACGAATCCTGATTAATCACAAAGAAACTGTTCAAAAATGGAGAAATAGTGCTGCGGTATAAAAGCTTTGACCCAAAATATATAAATAAAGTTCTCACCTTGTGCTTCACATAATGTGAGCAGAGAAGCAAAGAGAAGAACGACGCACGACCTCATTGTGCAGAATGGAAGCTGGACGATGAAACCAGGAAGTGAAGAACGTTTCACTTCCTGTTTCTCCGGTTTGACTCACGAGGAAACAAAAGGAAACAAAAAAAATAACACAAAAGAGTGAAAGAAAAGAGTTTTTATGGATCCAGATCCGCTTGAGGACGCTTCTCTGGCGGATTGTGCGTTGCGGATGAAGGGTGGAGGTGAACTAAAGGGTGGAGGTGAACTAAAGGGTGGTGGTGAACTAAAGGGTGGAGGTGAACTAAAGGGTGGGGTCGCTTCTCTCGGAGGGTAAATGGAGGCGAGCTGGGTGGAACCAGCTGGACTAGTTGGTTCAGATCAGATAACGAGAATAGAAGAGAAACAGAAACACGAGTTTCTCTCAATCAGCTGTGCGACAAAATGCGATAAGAAGCTGAAGGTGGAGGCCAGAGGAAGGTGGTGCTGAGCCAAAACACCGAAGCTGGTGGAGGATTATTTGAAGCAAAACGAGCAGAAAGTTCAAAACTAAGACATAAAGAAGAAAAAAATCATGATACTCAAAATGTCGCTGGTCTTCTTTAGAGGAATCCAGGAGCGATTTGCACGAAAACGAGTTGCGATCAAAAGTGAACAATGTTGCTACAAAATGTCCGGAGAAGTTACTGGAAACGGGTCGATTCTTCTTCTTCTTCTTCTTTTTCTTCTTCTTCTTCTTCGTTTGAATCTCGTATATTTGCACACCGCCACCTGCTGTCCGGAGTGCACATTCAGGGTTCACTGCTCAAACTAACTTCACTGCCCACTCGATCCTACGACCTGCTCCCCTTTTACAAACTGTATCAGTGTCCGAAACCTCCCTTTGTATGACTCTACATTTATGGATTTCTGTATGTTATCATAGTTCCTTCCTTTAGTTCCTTCACTGTCTCTCTTCTCCTTTACCAAAAGGAATATCCAGTAATTCCTCTCTCATCATAAGCACTTTCTTGGCGATTGTAGTGTATTATAAATAAACTGACGACCCGGTTCATAAAATTAATAAAATGCATATAGCGTACACCAGAATACAGCCATGATTCTGAAACTGTGTAATCCATAAAGTAATGACAATATTGTAAAACCACTGTAATTCTGCAACTGTAATAGAATAATACCAATGTACAATTATGATTGTATTTGATGTAATGTAATCGACTGGAATGCATGCATGTAATACTTGAACAACAACTGATATTGCCTAAGGGTCATTCGAAATCCGAGTTACATTGAACGCACCAGAAGACCACTCCCAGAGGTGTGGACACTGACTTTCAAACCTTTAAGCATTGTTATAAATACCTGAAGGGAACCATTGTTCTCGAGTTCGCTGGTGGAGGTGACAGACGGGCACTAGGGATGGTCAAAGGACTGACCTGGGCCCGTTTTTTCCAAAGGTTTAACCCGGATAAAATTGATCCGGATTTAGTGATCCTTTTTTTTGCAATCCGTGATCACGTAATCCAGTTTACTTTTGAGCCAGTTTTTCAAAGCAACATCGGATTGGATCAATCTGATCTGTTAAGGAACTTTTCAGGATCACCAAATCTGGATAACCAGTGCTCAAACAGGATAGGAAATCACAATGTAGAACTATAGATATGTAAAGAGCAACAAGTAGAATAGCCAGTGTGGGGTCAATAAGTTTATTTTTATTTGAAATGAAAACACACACGTTTAAAAAAAAACTAAAAACAAGAAAAACCCCACTCCATCCTCTTCCAGCAGTCTGCTCATCTGAGACCTACACAAACACTGTACATTGAGGATATTTATAACAAGTTTCAAATATAGATGTATTGAATTAAAAAAAAGCCAATGTCAAATACTCCACAATAATTTCCGACTTCCTCACCTGATGTGGAGAGACCAGATCCTCATTGCTCTCCGATTTTATGCATGTGGGACTTTCTATCAAAGTGTTGGTGACTATATGGGAGTGGTGAAATCAGCTGTGTGTGATGTGGTGAGAGATGTGTCAATCGTTTTCTTTTGGGGAATATGCCCAATACTATTGGAGCAATCGACTGCACACATGTGCATCTGCAAGCACCTTGTGAGAATGAATGGGAGTTTATAAACAGAAAGGGGAGGCACAGCATCAATGTCCAACTTGTGTGTGATGCTGACCTCATCATCACCAACTGCGTTGTCAAGTGGCCTGGGTCTGTCCATGATGCATGCATCCTGAGCGCTCTATATAGAGACCTCCAAACCAACCGACCGGATAGCATAATATTAGGAGACAGTGCCTACCCACTCCTACCACGGCTGATGACTCCTTTTCTAACAGCAAATACACCGGCGCAGGCACGCTTCAACACTGCTCATTGCAGAGCAAGATGTGCAATTGAGCGTTTAAATGGAGTTCTTAAGAGGCGCTTTGCATGCCTTAACTGCGTGAGAGCGGAACCACAGAAAGCATGCAACATAACCCTTCACTGTATTGTCCTGCACAACATCGCTACTAAGCGCAATGTCCCTCTCTGTGCTGACAATGATGCACCTGAGCCCCTTGGAGACCCTAACCAACCTCCTGCAGCCTCCTGCCTCCTGGGACAGGTGAAGTCCAAAAGACGAGAGAGGAGGTATCAGGTGTAGTAGAGGAGGCGCGAGAGGAGGTGAGGGAGGAGGCGTCGAGCGTGGTCCCTGGGGTGAGGGTGGAGGAGGTGAGGGAAGGGGATGTGGTTGAGGAGGTGGGGGTGGTGGGGACAGATACGGCCCGGGTGAATTCTGAAGGGCCAGTGGAGACGGGCAGTGGGGGGGGACATGGAGGGCTTTGAGGAGCAGCTTAAAGCCCCTCAGCTGAAAAGGAAGAAGGGGGGGAAAGGTGGCAAGTTGAAAGCTAAGAAAGCTACAACAAAAGGTCGAGATGGTGACGTATCTGACTCAAGTGAGGAGGGCGACTCCGGGTCCTGCATGGAGGACGACTCTCCTGCTGAAAGTGAGTCCTCTGAAGACGGAGGTAGCAGGAACTCTGGAGTCTACAGTGTGTAGAAAATAAAACGTTTCCTGAAAATCTCTAAAGGCGTAAGAGGTGTTCGAGTAGAAGACTACTTCTCTGACAAAGAGACCTTCTCCGAGTCTGTCAGATCCCATATAAGCAGTCCAGGGAGAGGAGGTCTCACTGATCGGGAGATCCACTTTATGCTCAGCGGTCAAATTTACGCATTTCTTTCGACAAAAGTTCTTCAATCTGAT